ACAATGCAAGACAACCTACAAGAGCAGTATGACAGTACCTCGCAGAATACAGTTCAAACGCCATTGAAGGAACGTAATGCTTACGAAACAAATGTCAAATCAAGAGTTAGTTCACGAATATCAAATCAGCAGTATCCTTGCCCTCTCTGTCCCGAGAAATTCTCCACGAAGGTTGAACTGAACGAGCATCGAACTCTTCATCTCAAAATGAAGATATATTCGTGCGCCATTTGCCGTAGCTTATTCAGCAGCGCCGGCTCTTTGGAAATCCATATGAAAGATCATGGTATCGAAGACGCGCACGAAAGGGACGCCAATGTCTCTTGCGTGGAATTTGGCAGCTTGGATGAAGATGTGAGGATTGAGAAAGATTTGGTGAATATCAGTAGCATCTCGGATCCTGGTCAAAATCATGAATGTGGCGAATGTGGTAAGGTACTATCCAGTTACGCTAATCTTCGACGACACGCTAAAATCGCTCACCGAAACACTAAGATCTATGATTGTGTCGATTGCTCGCGAATGTTTATGCGTAAAGATTTGTACGATACTCATATGGAGATCAAGCATAATTCTAAGAACACAATGCTGCAGTGTCCGCAATGCCCCAAGAGTTTTGTCTTCCATTCGAATTTCACTTATCACTTCCGTACTGCTCATCTCCAGAAATCACAAGCCGGTTATGCCTGCGATATCTGCGGCAAAGTCTTTGTTGAGGAAGCGTCTTTGAAAATACATAGGGGCTGGCACAATCGCGCCAATTCACGTTTGAGCACTCGATTTATAATAGGAGATCAGAATACATCCAATGACGCGCAAAAAGAATCAAGTAGCGTTGAATCTGTTGAGAATTCAGAACGGCCGGCGAGAGCACGAAAATCCTTCCCTAATCCACCACTTCAATCACTAACGAAGACATCAGGGAATTACCAATGTCAAGTATGCAATGACAAATTCAATGATGTCATAGAACTGAGGACCCATTTGTGGGACGTCCACTGCGCTCGCAACAAACCAGAGAAAAGTTTCTCTAATGATGAGCTTCAATGCGAACTCTGCACGAACATTTTCCCCGATAAGGGAACCTTAGCATGTCATATGCAATGGCACAAGGCTAATCCTATTCTCAGTGACATACAAAAAACGTTCGCCTGCGATATATGCGGTAGGTCTTACAGTTCGAAGAAGGCTCTATGGAAGCACAAGAGACTTCACAAAGCTACTGCTGTAGCATCAATTAAATTCCAATCTTTGGCTAGAAAACCGATGGCTACACAATTCCTATGCAACTTCTGTCGCAAAGTCTTTTCAAGCAATCAATCTTTGCAACGGCACAAACTCACTTTCCACAGTGATCCGCTGAATCAACAACGTGCGCAGCAACAGTTGTATAACAGCAGTCAATTATCGTCATTTGATGAACCAAGGACAAAGCGCGTGAAACCAGACATTGAAAATGATAATTCACAGACCAAATTGTCGCCTTTTGCCATGGACTTCGCTGGCGAAAAAAGGAAGCCGGTCATGTGCCATGTTTGCAAGAAAATGTTCCCTAACATGAGCGTGTTGTACAAGCATAAGCAAATGGTCCACAAACGATCAAGAATACCCGAGTGTATACCGATGTCGACTCAGGATGGCAAATTTTCATGCAACATCTGCTTCAAGAAATTCCCCGGTCTATCAAATCTGCGACAACATTTCACAATCAAACACAAGAAGACGTCCGAAGCCAGCAACGCATCAATGGCAGTGAGCAATGAGAGATTGTCGCTCCCGACACCCGAACGTCCAAAGGAAGCAACCTATGAAGTGGCCTACAATAACGTGATGTACAGCTGTAAATTGTGCAAGCAGTGTCACGTCTTCAATAAGAATTCTATCATAAGCCATATCACCAATGTGCACAACGCAGTGTATCAGGCCGATAGCAAGACGTTCCACAGGGAAATCACTCTGAGCACTTACGTAGTAAAGGACGCTATCGGAGCTACTTGTCCGCAATGCGATGTTAAATATCCTAATAACAGGGCTCTGAAGATACACTACATTAAGTTCCACGAAAATAACGATTAAAATTGTTAAAATCTGGCCATTGATTGTGCTAAGCAGGAAGATTTTTTAATTGTAATCACAAAAATCGAAAGATAATTCCTAAATCATGATTGTCTACATGCTGAGTGGTATATTCCTGAGATAGCATCGATTCTGAATAAAGACTTGGATCGAAAAATTTTGGTTCGGATAATAGTCTGAGATTAACCTTTTAATTCCAGTTCTCTTATCGTAACGATTACCGGATTCATTTGGATTTTGGTCCTTTTCGATTTCGGTTTTCAGTAATTATATACCGGATATTTATATAATATATAATATTATATAATTTATTACGTTATAATGTATTATATAATATTATGTAATATAGTATTAAATTATATTGTATACTTGTAATGGTCACCGTTACTTATTTAAAAGAACTGGAACTGATACCGAAACTGAAAACTTGCCTCTGACTACACTCGTAACCAAGCCGAAATTTTAATCCATGATGTAATTTTGGTCGGAGTCCTTGAGTCTGACGCATAATATGCTAATTTTCTTATTATAACGATATTGTTTTACGATTCCAATCTTTACGATACATTCTGAATAGTTATGATTAACACGTAAAGTCATGCAAGTACTGTTGAGCTATAATTTCGTAAGATTAAATGAAACGATAAGAAGACAAATTACATTATCTTATCTTCAGATATAGGAAGTGTGCCATTTTAATGTACACTTCAAAATCTTAGTTGTTTATTTTAGAAAAAAGTTTTTTTCTAGTATGAGAGAGAGAGAGAGAGAGAGAAACGATTAAAATATTTGCAGTGTGCAATTAAAATGAGTTGTCCTATATATATTGTCATGTTGATAAAGCTTTTATTTCACGGTTACGATTTATTTTCCACAGGTAACGATTTATCACGAATAATTTGTTACCTGTTTAATATAGCGATTGTATAATTGCGACCAATGAGCTGTGTAAATATCAAAGCGATAGAATTAACTATATGTATGATGAAACGTGGCAGCCTCTTGATGCAGTTATGACAAGTTGTCATGATCGCTGCAGTCGGGTATCTACATGATTAATTTTTCAACAAGATTAAACTTTTAATATATTTGTTTATGTGCATCATGTTATTACTTTTCGATTTTAACGTGTGTATATGTTTTTGAATTTTTTCAAAAAAAATGGAATAATTATATGAGTATTAATTGATATTCTGGTAGATTTCTCAGCATTTTTGCCTGGTTGTTGCGATAATGATAATGGTCACCTCGGGGATGCTGCAACAATTATAAATTTCTTTATCTACTATACTATAGATATACATTGGGTAATAATTATAACTATTATTATATATGGTGTGCAAATAAAAATCGTAAATATCTTACTTATATGTAACAGTATTTATTAAGAACGTCCTTTTTACAGTTTTGATTGTTTTCGCTTATCTTGCCAGTTTATGCATACACCATTCCTCTTGTTTTTTTCCATCTTCCTCGCTGGTTGCATTAGCAATGTGTTAGATTAGTTTTATCACTAATCCTGCGTATTTGTATTTCTAATGTATGAATTATTAACAATAAAAGAAAAGAAAAGAATTATTGATTCTTATTATTGAATTTTTAAGACTAATCATTAGATAGATAAATTTTCAATTATATTTCCTTCTTTAATTATGAGATTATGATAAATTAATTATATTTTAAATAGTGTAAAACACTCAGTATTAATAAAAAAATATTGAGTTGGAAAAGTGGCTTCGATAAAATAGAATGAAATTTTTTTGAAAATAGAAGTGAATTATATATGTTACAATGTTATAATTAAATCATTATATATGTATATATATATATATATATAAAATAGCAAACCGAATCAAACCTTAATTTCTTGAAGAAAAGTTTTTCTATGTGAACGTTGACCTGCTTTTCGTTGATTGCAATTTCCTTATGTATAAGAAAAGAGATTGTAAACTTTAAAGAAAAAAATAAATCATACAACATGATTTATTTTACCTTAATTAAAATTGGAATTAAGTTCTTTGTTTCTATCACAACTGAATATTTTCTCACTCAAAATTCTTAATGTATTCAAGATAATTCCAATAATCGAATCGAATCTTTTAATTGACAAGCATTAAGTTATTTAGCGCCCCGTGAAATCATGTATAAATATCTATAATACTAACAATTTTTCAAACTTGTAACTTGTCTCGGGATTATTTATGAACGAAAGACAATAAAAGTAACATTGCGTAACATCAACGGTATATTTGGCGATGATAAAAGCTTATGGAAATAGGAGAGGATTAAGGCAGACGGGCAAAGAAATCATCACACGAATATTTGGTACTTCCTTTTTTTTATGAATGCACAAAACATTTTAATATAAACTTAAAAATCCGTACAACAATATGAAAAATTATAGACTATTATACACATGTATATAGATATATATATATTTATATGTCGTACTTTTTATTTTTTCCATTTTCCGGGTTTATCAATATATATATATATATTTATTTATTTGTTTATATTTCTTTGCTATATATCTTTTTTTTTTATTATAACGGGATGGAAAACTTCCGTCTCTCACTAAGTATATGTATATTATATATATTATTATTAGAGTATTATTACTGTCATTATTATTTTTATTATTATTATAGGTATGTATTAATGTAGAAATATAAAGTGAACCATTGCACGATTCCGCGTGTCGTGTCTTACAATCAGAGTGTTTCAACTCGCTAAATTCAGAGACAATAATTGTATATCGATAATCGTACTTGCAGTAACGCCGACAATTAATCATTAACAACGACAGTAATTAGCGATGAGGGGGAGGAGGGCGGGGTTACGCGCACAGTTTATCTTGTAACAACACGTCGGGAAGGTTTTTCTTTTTTTTTCTTTTCTTTTTTTTTTTTTACTTCTTTTTCATGATGATAGGATGACGAGAAAAGGTGCGCGAGTGTCGCGCTCACGCTCGTCGGATTGCGTTCGTATTGCGAGTGCTTTCGCGTCTGTTTGTATACGTTTTGTGTCGCAATACGCTGTGTGATCATCGCCGGAGTGCATCGAGAGCCACGTGTGTCCGTGCGTGTATACGTGTGCGTGTGCGGACGAGTGTGTGCGCGATGTCAGATGTCAGGTGAACGTTGTTAACGCATTATGCGGTATATCTGCATGGCGGTGGATATGATGGGCTCGGGGATTTTAATACAGACGCCTCGCGCTTTCTTTCCCGCCGGGCATCGTATACCGCACAATGCGTATATATACATATATATATATATATCGCAGCGACGTGGATTAAACAGTAGATAACATATATATCGATAGAGACGTAGATTAGGCCAAATCTTTTCTGTCCCTCCGTCTCGTCTTCCCGTCTCTATGCTCGTGCGCGCCCGTACGGCGCGATTGTTCGCCTTTTTTGCAACTTGATATGCGAATCTCTCGCGGTTGCGGTCGTATTGTTGCTCCGTCTCATCCTGACCGTAGGTGTATCCTTTCGAAATAAATGGAACGGTGTAGCTAGTGCTTGCCTTTAGTTTAGAAATCACGAGAGAATTTTCCTTTCCAAGTGAGAAGTAATAATTTCAAATGATGTACAGAGTTTATAAACTGCGTCGCAAAATTCAGCAGTATAACATTCGATACTCAGATTACAAAACTTAGGAATACATCTCGCAATTTCACAAGACTTTTGATTTTTACAATTTTTTTCACTTTTGATCTATGATTATATAATTTCTCGTTGATTCCGTTTTTTGTTTTTTTTTTTTCGATTTAGTTGAACTCTTTTTCGAGTTCAAAATTCGTTCAGGTACAAGTAATGTCTGAATTGACTTGGATCTGATTAAGAGATCTACTTTTTTAGATCGCTTCGTAATGGTGTAGATTACGATTTTCGTAAGAGCACGATTGGAAGAGCGAAATGTCGAAGGGATACACCTCGCGCACACATTATTCGATCGCGATTTCGAAAATTTCACTTTCTTCCACGAGTTAGAATACGCTACATACAAAGAGCTTTACGAGTAAAGAGGAGAGGTATGTCGTTGTGCTGTTATCAGGCTCGGATGAAAATACAGAGAAGTGAGTCGCGTGTATCTCTCACAATCAGAAAGAGGATAATCAGGCTGGAGTACAGCGGTCGAACGAGTGAAACGTTCCCGGCTGAATTTTCCCGTATTGGGAAGACGTCGACATGTTGCGAGTATACAATTTTCAGAAAATAGCGGTACAGTGCAGAACAAACGAAAGCAATTTTCACAGAAAGAAGTCGCTTGTGATTTAATGAATAAAAACGATACACGCGCGCTTTCGTGTCTCGTTACAGTTGAACCGCGGGCACTTCGAGGAGCTAACAGTTCTTCCTTTAACGGAAACATGCATTGTACAAAGTAAACAGGACTTTTTTCAGGACGAAAAGTTTTATCGGTTTATCCATGTGGATTCGGCGCACGTTTCTCTCTATCTTGGGAAATCACGAAAAGTAGCTCCGTTTCTTAACAACTACGTTACCCTCGTTCGCTCTAGCGTTGCGAGAATGCTATCGGGGAAGGGCCTCCATCGCGATTTAATTATTCAGCATACGGGAGTTAAGTTAGAGGCGGTTTATCGATCGAATTTTTAACTAGTCCGCCGCACCGTATGCATATGAAACCGGCTTTCTAATCGCGCAATCGTGTTCTATCGTCGTTCCCTTTGATGGTTTCCGGCCCACTTCCGGTTGCCCCCCGGCTAACATTGCTCGTAGCCGCTCGTACGCGCTCATCCGCCGTGAGCAACTATAAAACTGACCGCAATCGATAGCTCCTCGTGAAAAATATTCGTGTAGCAGGTCTCGTCTGTCCAACCGGGAACGTTTGCACTCGTGGACGTTTCGCTCTCGCGGCGTTCCTCCTTCGTCGGTCGTTTAGCGAAGCTGAACAAGTATTCGCTCGTACGAGAAAAGTACATCTAGGAATGCATGACACATAGTATACGTTATATATACACCAGAGATATACATTAAACGGTTTCGTCGACGGTTCTTGGGATTCTGTATTATTCTCGTTTCTCCGTGCTCTCTCGCCTCTGCAAATTTTTCCTCGCGTTTTTTTTTTCTTTATTTCTCTGAAACGGCATCGCGCTGAAAAAGTCCAGGAGAGAACGCGGTTTGCATACAAAGTGCCGTTACGTCACCACCGACCGATCGTGTCGAGGCTAATCCGCGATGTGATGTACCGCGAGAGAGAAATCCGGTGTAACGAATCGCGATGTTACGGACGAATTAAGGTTTCCGGAAAATTGATTCGGTGTACCCCGGAATCGAATAACGTATACGTTTCGCTGACGAACTCCCGTTGGAACTCAATTGAAGAATCTATACTCAGCCGCAGCCGCACACGTACGACTTCAAATGAATGTAAAGCAAGATGCAAAAATTATATGAATAGATTTAAAATGAAATATGATACCCCTTGATACGAAATAACTATGTTATTTCGACGCGATCGATGTCGGTATTCGGCATCGACACCGGACACTGTTTTATGAATTCGTAATTACTCTTGAATAAGTCGATTATCGCGAGGAGTCGACTTCGCCGCCTAACTTTAATCATTACCTATTAATTGTTAGCGTAAATGTACTTTAACCCTTAAGATCATGTACGAGGTGTAGCTGCGCTGTTCGAGACTGCCCGATTAATCAGGCGCCCTTGAGTAACGCGTCGTGTGTCGCTGCTTAATTAATTGATCGACGCCGCGAACGGTTGTGTATCCGTGTTTAGTTTCAGACAACAAACATCGCCCTTAATACTTGCCAGTAAGCGCTCTTCATCTAGAATTAAAGTACAGAAGATCTCTACGTACAATGAAAGATTTAAGGATATTAATTATACGTTCAATTAATGATCTTCATAAATTAATTATGAGTTCTCTTTTCACTCAGCCTATCACTGACCTATGTTGCGAAAAAAAAAAAAGGAAAAAGGCTAACACGACGATTTACGCGAGGGCAGTTTGCAATTAATCATAGCGCTATTAGGTATACGCTAATAACACTGACTATCGAACATTATTACGTCACACTCATTAATTCTAGAGATCGCAATTTAGATGTAGAAAGATACGACATCGATATCGAATCAACAGTAGTTTTCTTAAAGATAACGCGATTAGCTGTTAAATGGTAGGTCTCTCTCTCTTTTTTTTTTTTCCTATCTGTCCCGTACTCAGGGTGCAACTGAGATCGGACGTATAATTGCGCGTCATGACAGAAACGCGTGATTGATCGCTATTGAATGAGAAACGATCGCATATCTCTCGCCCGAGATATTTAATCACGAGACGTATCTCCTCTCCATCATTTTTCATTCGCAATAACGTCGAAACTCGCACCTCTCTCTCACTTACGTCCGCGTCGAGAACTCGAAGAGTTTCATGCTCTCGCTAAAAAAAAAAAAGAAACGATTCCAAGATCCGTAATTTCTCCGTGGTGTCAGACATATTACCGTGCACTCCCTAAATTATTCAGAGCTACGAACGATCTGTTAATAACACACGCGATCGAAAAGAAAGGAGAAGAAAAGAATTAACGCACGGTCCCACAGATTCGACGCCATTGTGGCAGAAAAAAGGGCCGCGGGGCCCGACCTCGCCATACTTCTGACTATATAGTCTTCTCGCATTGGAGAACGCAGAATTTCGGTCCCCTCGGGCGACTAATGCGATCGTTCGTCGTCGTCGTCGTCATCCTCTCTCTCTCTCTCTCTCTCTCTCTCTCTCTCATCTCTCTCTCTCTCCCCCTGTCTCTCTTTTTTCTTTCTCCTTTCCTCTCTCACATACATCCGATACTGTGACAAGGTGAATGTTGATTAATCGATGCTTGCTAATCTTTGAGCGCGGGAGTAGCTTGCAAAACTTGTGTTTACGTATCCTACAGGTGCGCTATTTACACGTCCTACAGGTGAATCGGGAACCTGGTCGAAGGACGAGCGAAGTAACTCGTACGGCTAACTCGTACGTACTAGATTATGGCTCTGATTGAAGAGCGATATCAATTTTTCACATGGGTCGTCCTCTTTATATAATTTTCTCTCGCCGGGATCATTTCGCGCTGTATCGGGAACCGCCGTAGGGTCTCTCAATTCTCCGTTCGATGGCGGATTATTTATGGACTTGCAACTAGCCAATCTGACGTAGAACGCACCAGCCGCCGGCACGTTTTGCGGGGAAACAATTGGATGATTCAGGAACGACGAGTGAATGGAATCGAAGGGCGAACTTGCGACATCAAACGCAGGAGTTTGCGTTTTCCTTCGGAGAAAGCGTATATTGTTGGAATGGGAAAATAAATTGTTTCTCGGCAATAATTAATGGAGGAAGATGAAGTGAGCGCGGAAGTTAGTTGCAGAGACGATAACTATAAAAGTTCGATCAATCTCTCAATTCAATTCACCTGTCGTATTTATAATAACGAGCCTGGCGCTATGGATTACGCTGAAACGATCAGATGATAGAATCGCCGAGATATTTCTCTGGCGTGATCGCATAATATACGATGATGTATATACGGATCGTTTACTTAATGCTACGTCTAAAGCCGCTTGAAACTTATTTACATAAGGTATTCTTGCTACATTTGCGCATGATATTTAAATAGTAATACTGACAATCTAACGCCATGCAATTCAAACAAATATGAGATCTTTCATTCTAAACTAAGTCGACAAATTATTTTATATTTGCTGCAATTTTCTACAAATAATTATTCGAACGATATAGATTCTGATACTTTTTCATTCGATAAAGTGATTAGTTTCCTCTCAATAATACGTTTGAGAATCTAAAGAGTTGGCAAATGATAATTGAGTATAAATCGAAAAATACCGTTTAAAAAAATCTATTGAACAATTATTAACGTGGACAGTTTTAACACGAGGTTGTAAATCATGTATAAGACTTACGTTAAATAAACTGCAAAGTATTTACGATTTATTGCGATCGATATTATCGTGACCTGTTCAACAAATATTGAAGTTTCGAACTTCATTTCGTTTTCACGTTAATTTTCTGTCTCTCAGACGAGGATATAAATGAAGTGACGCAACAGCGTCAACTATCACGATACTAATTAATGTCTTCTCTCTCTCTCTCTCTCTCTCTCTCTCTCCCTCTCTCTCTGATTTTCACTGCAAGTGAGACAAGCCTCGCCTCTTTGGAACGTCCGCTCCGGAGTGATGCTGTTACATTCGCAAGGACACACGAACATCACAGGAGGCTGGGATAATTAACGTCAAAGGTATTTGCACACGCTCGCGTCTTCATACTCTCGGAAGAAGATCCATTTCATCCTTCCGATGAAACCAGATTCGTTTTCTAATAGTTCATCATTCGGATAATACGCTTGGACGCACTTATCAGTTGCGATCGATATAACGACTGATTACAATAATTGTACGGAGCACGGAATATATACTAATTAATTTATCTCTCAAAGCTAACTACAACTATGTCAGCGAAACGACGTCCAAACTTCATAATGTCGTGCTAAAAAATTATCAAAAAAAAAAAAAGATAAAGAATGATATCCATGGAAAACAAATTTGCGATTCTCGGTCACTCCGTTCGAATGTTATTCTCGGAGATTATTCAGGAAGTATTTCATCGGAGAGACCCTTTCATGAAAACTCCAAAGTTACAAACTTCGAGTCAAGTTATTCATGCGGAAATGATATTAGCATAAATACGATATAAAAGAGGATGTGAAGTTACAAACACATACATATACGGCCACACGTACGCGCGCATAAAGAAATCCAAATGGTAAAAATTTCGGAAACGATGAATAGTTTGCCTTCAGTCGGTCGTCGATGTACTTCTGATGTTACTTGAGAAAATTCCTCTTACACTTAAATCGCCCTTGGCGTTCTTTGGCACTTAGAGTCTTCCGGACTTCGAACTTTGTCGTCGTTTGATCATTTTTATCGCTATCGTAGTGCAGACCCGAAGTGATTTCTATGGTGCGAGCTTTTTCGTACCATAGAGAGAGCCGCTTTATTGGGAAACTAAGATACGTCCTTCATTTCCTTCCTTTCTCTTTGTCGTGTATACATTGTCGCCTTACAAGAATACGTGAAAATTCTTGCTAGGAAATTATCGCTAAACATCTACGTCCCCCGATAGAATATACGCGTATATATTCATCCGTTTATTTTAATGTTTCTTACGATATACTTAAGGATAATAATACTTATGAACTACGCACGAATATCGTACAACTATTAAAATCCGTGAAAAAAGTATCTAGCTGCCGTGTCCAGCTCCACGGCCTCTATTATATATATGTATAGTATATGTATAATCTCTCCCTCTCCATCTCGCTCTTCTGGCTTCTGCCCCATTTTCTACTGCTTTCCATCGTGTGAGAGTGTGCTTGTGTCTGTGCGTGCGTGTGTATCGTACATGCACTTTGTATTCTGTCACTTTGTCTACACACAGAGACGCATATATCTCGTCATGTAGCTAGAAGATACATCCTGAGGATTAAAAAGCGCTGAGATAGATGCTGTTTGATCAGGAACTCCAAATACGACACTGTCGTTCGACTGAAGAGAGAATGGACACGAGAGCTGTTTTTCCTTTAATAACTCACATAAAAAAAGTAACCAGACTCGATAAACTGTGTACAGAAAATAATTTCTTTTTTTGCGCGGACGTTTATGGATTAAAATCTACGAGCGAATAGAATAAACGATGTCCGAGCAATTATCATGGAACAAGACGGAATGGATTCCGATCGAAATTATTCCATTTTCTCTAGAAAATACAATAGAAATTTAGAGAATAATTGAATAATTCTGATCGGAATCCATTTTCTGAATAATTCCATAATACATATTCATGAAGAAATTACATAAAGCAATATGATATGCAGTATCATTTAATTGTCATCTATTGTCTGTCGAACGTTTCTCAATTTTTTTTTCTCGTCATTGTAATAGAATTCCAAAACCCCCAATCCTGCGGATTAATTCCATGTAAATCGATATCGCGCGAGTCGTAAGATCGTTTTACGTCTCGCGAATCTGCAGAGTTCAAGCGGAGCTACTGGCCGTTCTCTCTTCAGCCGATCTGTCTGATTGATTTATATATTTTGATTTCGTAATAACATTGGTATGCAAGTGTGCGAGATTGATACAGGCAGGTAGGCAGATAGATATGGATACGTAGGTAGACACAAAACACAGACATGGTACGAATATTATACAAGGACCACACATCTCTCTTGCAGCGGTAGAACAACGGTCGTATGTGCTAATCACGAAAATTGCGCGACCGATCTGTCGATTTCTCAAAATTGCGGGGAAAATACCTTCTCTAAATTGCATCGGATTAGTATCGCGTGTATAGAAAATGTTTATCTCCTCTTCAGAGCACAATCCTGTACTTAAGTTCTTTTAATATTAGTTTCTGATATATATATATATACGAAAAATTGCGCGACTTGATAATAACGTAATTCCTTGGATAATTTATTCAACAACTGGCGGTGGCTTACAAGCTTTTTGTTGCATTGTCAATAAAGAAGTAACAGACTTTCAATTTTCATGGAAAATATTTATAGCAATTTTCTTTACTTTTATTTTCCCGTGTCAACTGAGAGAGATTCGATAGATTCGACTTTTTAATAATGCCGAAGATATTACATGCATATTCATATACTCACATGTTTGCCCTCACACATATATCTAATGGTAGGTACACGCCCTACGGCGTAAAAAGTATGCGTTCCTTAGCGTTACTTTAGAATATAAAATTGAATATGCTTGTTTTAACATCGTAATACATGAATCTTTCTGGAACGACGCAAAATAGATTTTCCAGCACATTCCCATATCTATGTATATATATATATATGGTGTGTATATGTACGTGCAATATGTCGCGAAATGCATCGTTATACTCTCACATTCTCAACCCACCGTTCTAAATAAACGATCACTTTCGTTTAGCGATTCTCTTCTTCTCGCCGCTTCCTCTCCGAGTGAAAAATATAACTCGTTTAATTTTGTCCTCTGCGCTCTCTCACTTCTCATACATTCCACTGGCGCAGTTACACCGCACATAATTAAGTTTCAAGAGGTATATATAAACATACGCAAGAGTAGGAAGGATGAAAAACGCGTTTCCTTGGCCGTTGATACTTAATTATTCCTCCTCTATCTCACCTTTACTTTTAGATAACGAGGAAATATGTACGTACGAAATACTGGTTCCTTTTTTTGTTAGCTCGATTTTTGTTCCTCCGTTCAATCATACCCTTTCGTGTTCCCTTATCTATGTTTTTTTCAAATAGCCTAATCGCCCTTAATCTTTGCATATGAAAACATAGAGCGTAATCACAAAGAGCTGAACAAATACTACGTTGAAGAATAAATTAGAGGATTAACAACTATATATATATATATACTTCAGTCACGAAGCATTCTCGTTATTATGTACATATTTATATGAAATAAAAATAGGAATGGAATTAAATGATATCCAAAGAGCGTTATGCTATTGTTTGCTCGGAAATGTGGATTCGTCGAGTCATTGAAAATCGAAAATCGCGTTAGTATCACGCGATCCAATCTACATAAATCAAGTAAGTAATATTAAGTCTTTAAAAATATATAACGTATTCTGACGTTACAAATTAATTGCCGATGTAATTAAATTAAGATTGGCTTAATACAATATTAAAAATATCAT